GTCTTGTGAGTACTGCTGTTGCATTGGCTTGTTTTTTTCCTTTGTCTCACTATTTTGTTGTTCCCCTTCCCTTCCCTTATTCAGATAAATGTATATACAATACCCAGGGTACCAAAATCAAGTACAGTGATAACAGGGGATAAATCATAGGAACAAAAACACAAAAGAAGAAATCACATAGTACATTAAGAACAACATCCGAAAAATCTCTTGTTTGAATATCTTGGAGTTCATTTCACTTAGCATTATTGTATATTGGTCATTTGTACAAAGGTATTGAGCTAGTCTGCTCATTTGTGAGTACTATGCTAGACATACACTAATTATTACAAATGAGGGAAACCATGGGATCTATGTTTTGGGGTCTGGCTTACTTCATTTAAAAATGATTTTTTTCAAGTCTTTCCATTTCCTTACAAGTGGGGCAATGTCATTCTTTCTGATGGAAGCATAGAATTTCATTTTGTATATATGCCACATTTTCTTGATCCATTCATCCTACTGAGGGGCATCTGGGTTGGTTCCATATTTTAGCTATGGTAAATAATGCTGCAATAAACATGATTGTGTTGGCCTTATTTGTGGTCATTTGGGTAAATGCCCAGAAGTGGGATTGCTGGGTCTTAGGGGATTGCTTAGTCTTTTGAGGAACCTCCACACTGCTTTCCAGAGTGGTTGAACAAGTTTTATGTTCTTCAAATAAGTTCATAGCAGCTTGAATGTAGAAGCAAGTACAAAACCAAGTACAAAAACATTGAACTTAGAACAATAATATTAGATAATACTTGTTTTATTCCTTTTGAAAAGCTTAAGTCTCTAACAATGTTTTATATTGTTTAATATACTTATTTTCATTTTTAGTGAATAAAGTATTTTGAATGAACATATAAAATAATATGTTTAATTGTATTTATTTATTTAATTGTATTCATTGTATTTATTTAATTAATTTATTTGAGAAGGTCTTACTACATAGCCCATGATGTGCTTGAACTTGTGCTCCTCTTGCCTCTGCCATCTGAATTCTGAAGATTACAGGTGTATATCAACATGCACAGTAATAGGCTTTTAACGACTATAATTTCTCTGTTGACTTTTATGATTTTTTTCAAAGTGCAATTATTCAGGATTTTATGTCTCTTGTTTTAAAATTTATTATTTTATTTTATTTTTTTTCTTTTTGCTTATGTGGTGCTGAGGAATCGAACCCAGGGCCTCATGCATGCAAGGCAAGCACTCTACCACTGAGCCACCTTCCCAGCCCTAAAATTTATTATTTTAATCTGAAGATTTTAGTTTTTTAAAGCTTTTGCAGGATGTCCTGTTTGATGGATGATTCCCAACAAGAATATATGGGATCAGCATATTAGGTATATTTATAGGTAAGGTAAAAGGATATACAATAGTATCAGCAAGGAGGAAGGTATAGGTAGGGACTGGAGAAATCCATGTACAAGAACCTCTCTTTCTACGACAGGATCTCTTGGGGCCTGTTTCTTTCTTTAGTGGTAATAATCAATTATTTGTCCTTCCTTTTCTTTCTTCCTTTTTTTTTAGATTATGAGTAATATCACTTTTTTAATTTCTAAGAGTTTTTTGAGCAATCTTTAGGGTTTTATAATGATAGACTCTGTATAATTGCCTTCTTTCTTTTCTATTTTTATCCTTCTTATTTCTCTGGCCTATTATATTATATTATTATTATATTATTCCTATGGATATGAATTCAAGAACTAGATAGAATACAAATGAAGAATAGATATCTCTGTCTCATTGCTGACTTTAAGGGAAATGTTTTGTTTTTCTCCAGTTTATGGTTGGGTTAGGTTTGTCACATAAAGCCTTTATTATATTAAGGTGTATTTCTTCTGTTCTTAGTTTGTTCTAGGCTTTTCTCATGAAGAAATATTAAACCTTGTCAAAGCACTTTTTCTGTATGCCATGAGATGATCATGTTCTTTTTTTTTCTTTTGATTCTGTTTATGTGCTGCGTTATAATTATTGATTTGCATTTGTTAAACTATCCTTGTATCCCTTGATTGAAACCAGTTTGATGATGCTGTGTGAAGGTATAGTGGTGTCGAATTCAGTTTGCAAGTATATTAGTAAGAATTTATGGCTGTACATATCAAGGAAATTGGTCTGTTTTATTTTTTTAAATTTAATTTTATTATCAAGGTGATGTACGTAGAGGTTACAGTTACATATGTAAGGTAGGAGTACATTCCTTGTCAAACATTTTTATCCCCTCCTTCCCACTTTCCCTTTCCCACAATGGCCACCTTCTCTTTCAAGCCCCCCACCCCCCAAGTTGTAAAGTTCATTTTGCATGTTTTCCTTATTATTATTTTGGTATCTAGGTAAGAGAGATTCATGAATATAATTAGTGGTATTCCTTCTCTCTATTTTGAGAAACAATTTGAAGAGCATTAGTCTTATTTCTTCTTAAAAGTCTGGTAGAATTCAGTGGCTGAATTCATCTAGTCATGGAGTTTTCTTAGGAAGTAAATTTCTTAGAGACTGTATTTTCCTACATCAACTCAGGTAAGTAATGTATGTATAAAAATTGTCTAGTTTTTCAATTTTATCATTTATTAGAATATAATTTTTCAGATGTATACTAATTACTGCAAATAAGGGAAACCATGGGAACTTATTTCTTTGGGTCTGGCTTACTTCACTCAATATGTTTTTTTTCCAGGTCTTTCCATTTCTTAACAAATGGGGTGGTATCATTCTTTCTGATGGAAGCATAGAATTACACACACACACACACACACACACACACACACACACACACACACACTTTTTTGATCCATTCATCTACAAATGGGGTGGTATCATTCTTTCTGATGGAAGCATAGAATTACACACACACACACACACACACACACACACACACAAACACACACACACACACACACACACACACACACACACACTTTTTTGATCCATTCATCTACTGAGGGGCATTTGGGTTGGTTCCCTATCTTAGCTATGGTGAATAATAATGCTGCAATAAACAGTTTTGCTGGTAGCTTTAGTATGGCCTTGTTTGTGATCATTTGGGTAAATGCCCAGATGTCTAGGAAAATCTTAACAGATGAGCAGAAAAGCTCAAAAGCTATGTACATAAAATCATATAAAATGATGCTAAGCAAAATGAACCCCAAGACATTGACACAAGAGGTTTTTCATGGTTGTTATTTTTAATGTTCTATGTGATTGTTTTGTTTCCTTTGTATGTTCTTCCCCCTATGGTATATCCCCTGTTGTCACTGTATTTGATTTTGGTACCCTGAATCTTGTATACATATTTATCTAACTTAGGGAGGGAAGGAGAGTAACAAAATGCTAAAACAAGAACACAGGATAACACATTGCAACAATGATACAAGACACTGTGTTGGAAATGAACCTTACAACTTGGGGGGCAGGGAGTGAGGAGTTGGAGAGGTGAGGAGGGAAGAGATAGTAGGAGAAAAACAAAGGAGAGGGTAACAACAATGATGGACAAGAAAGGTACTCATTACTTTACTCATATAACTGTAACCCCTCTGTACATCTTTTCAAAGTGTTCCCTGATGACCTTGTGAATTTCACTACGATTTGTTATGATATCCACCTTTTTGTCTCTACTTTTACTAATTTGATTCTCCTTCCTCTTTTGCTTGGTTAGATTGGCTAAAGTTTGTAATTTTGTTTTATCTTTTCAAAGAACCAAGTATAGTTTCATAGATTTTTTGTGTTCCACTTCATTACCCTGATCCATTTCATTTATTTCTGCTTACTAATTTTGAGTTTGGCTTGTCCTTGGTTTTTGAGCTTGAGGTACATAATTAGGTTATTTTTTAGTATTATTTATTTATTTATTTGCTCTCCGCTGCTTGATCCATCTCCCTAATCATTTCTAGCCTGCGTTATTATTTAAATATACTCTTGTAGTTTTGTCCAGGTTAATCTGATCCTCCTATTTATAATTCTTATATAACTGGAAAGTTTTATTGATTGAGATGGGAATCTCAAGAGTTTTCTTGTCTCGCTATTTTCCCACTTGCTACCTGCCAAAAAACTGGGATTATTTATAGATGTTAGCCACTTGGCCTAGCCCACCTTAACTGCTTTTTCCCTTTAAGTTAATTTAGGTTTACTTGAAGGTGGAATGAGGGGAGTCAGTGGTTCCTGTTCTAAAAGAAACTTTTAGATATTTTAACACTTACAGGATATGTCTTTCTAATCTGAATACAAAGATGATATTAACTTTATTAGTGGACTTAATGTTAACTTACAAGACCAATGAACATTACTAGTTTTCATTTAAGTTTGAGTGGAGAGCTCTTTCTTGGAGTATAAGCTATGAAAAGGTGAGGAGACACTGGTTGATAGAAGCAGCATCAGAGTGATCTGTCTTGCAAGGTGAACTTTTCTAGTATTTTCTATTGTTATATATTTATTTTCATGTTTACACTTCTTCTGTCTTCTTAGCAGTATTTTGGGGTGGGTTTGAAAAATATACATATTGCCAACTCCAGATATTATTCTGTAAATCAGTAAAATGTAGGTTTATTATAAACATTTTCAGCTGTTGTTGGCAATTTTATAACTATAATTTCTTGTAAGATTTATTACTTAATTTTAGCATCTTGTCAACCTGAGTTTTATCATTAAATGTAGTATTTAAAAGCACATAATGAACTCTTTAGACTAGAATTTTAGTTTTAGTACCATAGGCATTGAGCCTGTTACAAAATAAACCTTAGGTCTTTCGGTTTCTTCATGATATATACAATAATGCCTGTCTTCAAAAAATGTAAGTAAGTTGGTATCTGTAAAGTGCTTAAAGTACTGTTTGGCTAGATAAATATTTTGTTAAATGTAGAAAAATGTAAAAACATGAGCTATGAATTTATCCCAAATAACTATTTCTCTAGAATTATTGCGATATATATTTGAATTCCTTGAATAACCATGTTTGTGTCTTTCTGTTTAATTTTTTATAGCCTTTCGTGAACCTCATTTTTATTACCAGTTCACAGTACGATATCATGCTGCTCCCTGCAATAGTATCTATAATATTTCTTTTGAGAAGAAACTTCTTCAGATTTTAAGCAAACTAGTTCTTGACCTTTCATGTGAAATTTCTTTACTTAAGTCTGAATGCCATCGTGTTAAAATGCAAAGAGCTGGTTTGCAAAATGAATTGTTTTTTACATTTTCAAGTAAGTATATAATATATTTTAAAGCAAAACAAGTTGAATATCCATAAACAATTTTAAACATGTTGTGAATCATCAACAACAATTTAAAAATATATATATTATAAATATCACGTATTTCCTATTCTTTAAATTGGCTTAGTGCTATTACTCTCCAAATAAAATCCTACTGACTTATGAACTTAATGAAAAAAGTTTATTTCTCTCAATACCTTGCTATGGTGACTTACTGTGGAATGGAACTTAATGCAAGATCTGTTATACTATTTAGTTAATAAGGATTTAATTTGTAAATACATCTAGTTATAATTATATTGAATACCCTAAAATAATCAACTTTATTGGGGTTTTCTTAATGACGTATGGTGGAGGACCATTATTTTCTAGAAATCAAAGAATTGGGCTTGATCGCGAAGGGCTGGAGATTTGTAAGTATTCTGTCATGAAGTATCTCAAAAATAGCCACTCATTTTCTACTGGATGCCCCTCCCATTTTATCTCAAATGCAGTTTTTACTCTTATTTCTTTCCTCCTCCTTTGCTTTTCTTAATTTGTCTTCTATCAGTATTTGATTATATTTGCCAGTTGCCTAGATTTCTCTTCCTTCTTTATCTCTTGATCGGTTTCTCTTTTTCTTCTTGGTCATTTATGATCAAATCCAGAAAGATAATTGAGAGACATGAATTTTCTTACTACTGTCTCTTCTTCCAGAAAAATGTTGAGAATTTCTCCATTAGCCTTTGAAACAAATTTTAAGGGATAGATCAATTCTTTCATTACTTTCCCAGGGGCCCATTATTAATATTCAGTGGAGTTATGAAATCTTTCCTTGGTCTTTTTAAATAAGTAGACAAGTTCTTAGCAAACTTGCAATTCCTTTTCAACTTACAAAGAAAAGAGATGAAATCCAATAAAAATGATATTATTTGTGTGCTGGTACTGAGGCTTAAACCAGAGCCTCAAGTTCTTGCTTATAAGTTTTTTACTCAAGGCTGGTGTTTTAACATATTGGCCATACCTCCACTTCCAGAAATGTAACAAATATTCTCTTTTTAAAATTGAGTTATGCATCTCTCTCTTTTTTCCTTTTATTTTGAGTTATGCATCTCTCTCTTTTTTCCTTTTATTTTCTTTTATGATACTGGTTTAATCTTGGGGCCTTGTGCTTGCTAGGACTGTGTGCCACCATTTGAGCCATGTCCTCTTTCTTTTGGTTTATATTTCAAATAGGGTCTCCTACCTGAACAAGCCTTCAACTTCCATTTTTCTGGCTTTGCCTGTGGAGTAGTTGGGATTACAAACGTGCCACCATGACCAACTTGGATATTGTGTATCTTTTGTTTCTTAGTTGTAAGTGTACTTTATATATTTTGGATACTAGATCCTTATTAGATATATGATATACAAAACCATTTATCTTTGCTGCAGGTTAACTTTTCACTTTCTTAATAGTTTACATTGAAAAGTTGTTTTCTATGTTGTTGACATCCAGTTTATTTTTTGTTCCTTTTTATGGTCTTGGTATTATATCTAAAAGCCAACATCATCAAGATTTACCCCTTACTTCTTCTGTTTATCATGGCTCTTGGAAAGCCACAAACTTAAGTTACATATAATCTGATTGTGATGGGATGTTTGTATGTCCCTTCTAACTTTAGGAATTTTTTTTCCTCACCTCTCTTTGAGTTGTTTAAAAACAGTTAAGGCTTTGAAGAACAGGCAGAGATTTTTTTTTTTTGCCAGTTCTTAGGCTTGAACTCAGGGCTTAGGTGCTGTCTCTGGAGCCTCTTTGTGCTCAAGGCTAGTGCTATACTACTTGAGCCAAAGTGCCACTTCTGGCTTTTTCTGAATAATTTATTGGAGATAAGAATCTGCCTGGGCCAGCTTAGAACCGAGATCCTCAGATCTCAGCAGCCTGAGTATGTAGGATTACAGGAGTGAACCTGGCCAGAAATATTTTTTTAATGGTTTGAATCCAGTCTAGTCAGAAATCTCCAGTTAACCAGAGAAAAGCTGGGCTGGAGGCATGGCTCAGGTGGTTAGAGTGTCAGTCAATTAAACTATGCAAGAACACAAGACACTGAATTCAAGGCCCAGAAGTAGCAAAGAAAAACAAGCAAACAAAAACCCATAAAATGTACACATCAAAAAGTGATAGCTATTTACCAAATGTTACTTACTGTAGAAAAAAAGAAGCCAGAACAGGCAAATAGATGTAAAGAACCCATGCTATATGAAATCCATAGGAAATTGCCAACAATTAACAACCACATACTTTCAGTAGCACATAAACCACATTTACTTAAAAGCTACATAAAATTAAAACACCTGAATAACTATTATTTACTTATGAATCCAATACTGTTTTAAATGAAAGTGGAATCACCTTAATAACTAATTGGATTTTTATAGAAACCACTATGCTCATGAAACTCACAGTTAATTTAAGAAAACTTACACAAGTATTTTTCCTTAATCCACTAATTCTATTGTTTAAGAGTTGTAGTACTTTTCAGGTTACATGCTTCAGTAATCACCCTGTTTCTGTTTCCTAAACAGCTGAGGCTGCAAAGAATTACTACCATGACACATTTAAAACCTTTTCAGTAGTAAGAGTCAGAAATATGAAATCAAGAGTTTTATAAGAATGATAAACAAGCCAGGTGCCAGTGGCTCAAGCCTGTAATCCTAGTTACTCACTGGACTGAGATCAGAGGATCATGGCTCAAAGCCAGCCTGGTCAGAAGTCTGTGAGACTCTTATCTCCAATTAACTACCAAAAAACCAGAAATGAAGATGTGATTCAAGTGGTAGAGTGCTAGCTCTGAGCAAAAAAGCTCAGAGACCATGGCCAGTTGCTGAGTTCAAGCCCTAGGACTGGCACACACACACATATACATACATGGTTAAAATATTTACTGGTTTTGGTATATTTTCTTACAGTTTTGTATTTTTGGGCATTTTCCACTAAACTTGCTTATACTACTTCCATAGCATCTGTATACATGAGGAATTTTTATTCTACTCTGACATGTTTTGGTAAAATACTGAGCATTACTGTATTTTCACGATGATGGGATTTTTGTTCTTCTTATGTTGTCCTTGTTGACCTTGCCCTTGTTGTGTATTAATGTTGTGACCCAACTCCTTGCACTGTAATATATGAACATCTATACCGATTATATGACAGGCTGGATTACGTTGTGGAACTGTATTTGTGGAACAAACAAACTTTGTACCTTTGTATCATCAGTTAAAATTTCTCTTCATGCTATCTTTTTTCATATCTGTGGCTTGAACTGAGCTATCAGCAAAACCACATGCTTCTCGTTAATGAAAGTTCTTCTCACCTGGCAGTGTAGAATGCTCTTCTGATTTTGAAGTGTTACTATATTCTCTATTTTGTTCCACTCTAGTGTGAGTTCTTTCATGTTGGTAAAAGGAAGTTAATTGACGGACGGTTATCCCTCATGAAGTACTTCTGTACATAGAGTTACTCTCCAATGTGAATTGTTTCATGTATTTGGAGGCAATGAGAATAAGTGAACACTTACACAGTGCTTACCATCTGTAAGGTTTCTCTCCAGTGTGAATCCTTTCATGTGTTTTAATGAAAACATAATAATTGAAGGCTTTCTCACATTGTTGGTACACAGTTTTACTCCACTTGAAGATAACATGAAAGAGTGAGTACTTTCCCACTTATGGATAACATCCATAAATTTTCTCTCTAGTATAAGATTTTTCATGTCTTTGAAGGACATTGGAATTAAAGGAATGCTTTCTCAGTTGCTTACATCCATAGTTTCTATCCAGTGTGATTCTTTTTGTGGGTTTTGATGGAATTATAATAAATAAGGACTGTCTGACATAACTGAAATGTATAGGGTTTCTCTTTAGTATGGAGAACTTTCATATCTTTGAAAGTTGGAATTAAATGAAGACTTTCCCACATGGCTAAAATTCATAGTGTATGTCTCCAGTATGATTATTTCATGCATTTGAAGGAAAGTGAAATGAATGAAATTTTTTCCACATTGCTTACATACATACAGTTCTCTCCAGTGTGATTTTTTTCATGAGTTTGAAGGCCACTGGAACTAGTGAACTCTTTCCCACAGTGTTTATATCTGTAGAGTTTCTTTCCAGTGAGACATTTTTCATACATTTAAGGTCAGTGAACGTAAATTCACATTGCTTTCAAATTGTGTATGTTCCTCATGTACTAACCTGCTTTTAATAGGTCCAAGATGTTTTCCCTCATTCTGTAAGCTTTATCATTTTCTACTATAGTAACTGTACCCTAGTTCCAAAATGTTTATGTGTTTTTTTTCATACTCTGGAGAAATAAAGTATTTTCTGGAATATAGTATAGGTATTGATATATTCTTAAACTTCTGTTAACATTTACTAATTAAAATATCTGTGCCATGTGCTATTTTGTGAAATTATTAATTTCTTCTTTGATTTTTTTAACTGATATGTAACTCTTAAGATTCTCTTTATGTTTCTTTGTGAGTTTTGGAAGATGATGTCTTAAGGAATTTGATTTCTGCCCTAATTTTTACATTTCTTCTTTCTTGAGTTAAAATATTCTTCAATTTCCCAAATGAATCTCAATTATTAGATTTACTTATTTTCTAATTTTTTCAGTGCTATAATTTCTCCGTTATTTTACTTTATGCCACAAATACTGATAAATGGGCTTTTCACTTATTTTGCTAAAGGTACTTTTGTTGATGCTTTATATATAATGTATTTGTGTTGTTTAATCAATGGATTAGTAATTTAGTTGTGCTATGATTGGAGTACATATACTGGGTGAATCTTCTAACCTCCTCCTCCTCTTCCTCTCTCTCTTTCTCTCTGCTTTCTCTTTCTTTCATTTTCCTTTTTGTGTGTTTGTTGTTTGACCCAGGGCCTCATACTTATGAGGTAAGCAGCGTACCATGAATCTAGTCCTTTTGGTTTTAGTTTTTGAGACAATACATGGCCAGCCTCCAGCTCAAGATCTTTCTGTCTCTGCCTGCTGACTAGCAGGCATTAACAAGCATTAGCTATAGATATTATTAGCATTTGCTATCATTCTTGGCCTTTTTTCCCTTTTTTTTTTTTTTTTGGTTGATCGTGGGGCTTGAACTCTGGGCCTGGGCGCTGTCCTGTGCTCCTCAGCTCAAGGCGAGTGCTCTACTGCTCTACTGCTTGAGCTACAGCACCACTTCCGGTTTTCTAGTGGTTTATTGGAGGTAAGGGTCTCATGGACTTTCCTGCCTGGGCTGGCTTTGAACCATGATCCTCAGATCTCAGCCTCCTAAGTAGCCAATATTACAGGTGTGAGCCACCAGCGCCCAGCCTTTTTTCCTTTTAAAGACAGACATTTTTATTTTATGCTGGTTCCAGGGCTTGAACTCATGGTCTGAGCACTGTCCCTGAACTTTTTTGGTCAAGGTTAGCATTCTGCCACTTGAACCACAGCTTATTTTGGTGATTGATTGGAGACAAGAGGCTCATAGACTTTCCTTCCCAGGCTGGCTTCAAATTACAGTCTTGAGATCTTAGCCTCCTGAGTAGCTAGAATTAAAGGTGTGAGCCACTGGTGCCTGGATCTTTCTGCATTTTTATTTTTACCTCTATGTTTTATGCCTGCTAACTTGACCTATCCTCTCTGATTTACTGGTTGCATTTTTACATGTGTGCAATGAATAGGATCACTGTGTCTACCTTTCCTTTTTATATTTGTCTATCTTCCTTCCCCTTGATGCCCTACCCAACAATAGTTAGTTTTCTGGTATTCATTCAACTTTAAGTTGTTCAAAGGAATTATACCATTAGAATCCTCCCCTGTGTATACCCTGCTGTGGTCAACTTGTATATATACATTTGTATATATACGTATACCCTTGAATATGTTTTCATATATGCTAATAATTTATAACAAACTTCTACATATGAGTGAAGACTTGTATCATTGTTTCTCTGACCCTGACTTATTTCATGTAATTTTTTTCCAGGTCCATCCATTTCCTTGCAAAAACATAATTCTTCCTGATGGATTAGTAAAATTCCATTGTTTGTATTTATCCCATTGAAAGACACTTGGGCTGTTTCCATAACTTGGCTGTGGTGAATAGTGCAGCAATTAACATGGATATACAAGTGTCTTTACTGTATCCTGATTTGTAATTTTTGGATAAATGCCTAAGAAAGAATGGTGTCACTGGATCACAGGGTAGTTTTCTATGTTCACCTGCCTTCCATGGTGGATGCAATCATTCATATTCACACCAACAGTATAACAGGGTTTCTCTCTCTGTGTTTGCCAGCATTTGTTGTTTGTATTCTAGATGATGGCCATTCTTACTAGGATGTGATGAAATCTCAAGGTTGTTTGGATTTTCATTCCCTTTATGGCCAGAGATGCTGAGCATTTCTTCCTGTCTATTGGCCATTTTTTAGTTCTTCTGAGAAGTCTCTCTTTAGTTCTTTTTCCCATGTAATATTTGGATCATTGATTCTTTCGGGGTTTAGTTTCTTGTTCACTCTGCATATTCTGGATGTTAGGCCCTTGTCAGATGTATAGCTGGCAAAGATCTCCCATTCTTTGGCTAGTAATTAAGTTCTTTGCTATACAGATACTCTTAGCTTGATGTAATCTCATTTATCTTTTTTTTTTTTTTTTTTTTTGGTCAGTCATGGGTCTTGAATTCTGGGCTTGGGTGCTATTCCTCAGCTCTTTAGCTCAAGGTGAGTGCTCTACTGCTTGGGCCACAGTGCCACTTCCAGTTTTCTAGTGGTTTATTGGAGATAAGAGTCTCACAGACTCTCCTGCCTGGGCTGTTTTGAACCTGATCCTCAGATCTCAGCCTCTCCTGGGTAGCTAGGATTACAGATGTGAGCCACTAGTGCCCAGCACTCATTTATCAATTTTTGTCTCCAGTTTTCTGAGCCTTTGAAATTCAGGAAGTTCCTGCCTATACCATTGAGGTCTTTGATCCATTTTAAACCTATTTCAGTACAAAGTGACAGACAGGAATCTAGATTAATTCTAATGCATATGGAGGGCTAGTTTTCCCAAAAACATTTGTTGAAGAGGCTCTCTTTTTTTCCAACATATATTTCTGACCTTGTCAAATATCAGATGGGCTGTAGGAACATGAGTTTATTTGTGAGTCTTCTGTTCCATTGGTCTTCAGGTCTGTGTTAGTACTAAACTGTTTTTATTTCTATAATACTGTAACTCTGTAATAAAGTTTGGAGTCAGATTATGATTTATTTTATCCAAGATTGCTTTGGCGCTGTTTGGAGGTGGATGGTGGGAGGGAGGTATTGTGTTTCCATATGATTTTTTTTCTCTTATCTTGGTGGACAGGAATATTACATTGAATTTGTAGATTGCCTTTGACAATATTTTCATTTTTACTATGTTAATACTGCTAATCCTTGAACATGTTCTTTCTGCTTCTTGGTGTCTTCTTTATTTCTTCAAAGTTTCGCAGTTTTCACTGTAGTGCTTGGTTACATTCATTTTTCAGGTGTGTTTTGAGGCTATTTTAAACAAATTTGTTTTCCTGATTTTCCTCTATCTGCTAATTGTCGGTATAAGAAAAGCTACTGATTTTTGTGGGTTGAATTTATATTCTGTTGTTTGACCCAAAGTATTTATCAGCTCTAGGTGCTTGGTGGAATCTGTAGGGTTCTTTGGATAGAGGGTCATATCATCTGCAAATAGGTATAGTTTCACTTTTTTCCTCCCTGTTTGATTCTCTTCTATGTTATTTTCTTGCCTTATTGCTCTGTGTTATACTTAAAAGTATTATACTTAAAAGGAGTGAACTTAAAAGGTGTGAACTTAGAAGGTTTTGAACTCAGTAGGTAGCTTAAACTGACCTTGAACTCTCAATCCTCCTTCAACCCAATGAAGCACAGCTATTTTCCAGCTATATAAGAGGCTTACATTGGGTAGATGATGGTTCTAGTCCAACCCAGGCAATAAAGTTCTCAAGACCATCTCAACAGAAATAAAGCTGGGTGTTATGGTGCGCTTCATAAATCCCAGGAACAACAGGAATTTTAAATAGGAAAATGATAGTCTAAATTCCTAGGGAAAAAGCAATACCACCTTATCTCAAAAACAGCCAGAGAAGAAAAAGGGTTGGAGATGTGGCTCAAGCAGCAAAATATCTGCTTTGCAAGTGGAAAGCTCTTAAGTTCAAATCTAATACCACCAAGAAAAAGAAAAAGGTTTTATGGGAATTATATTTTGAAATAATTCTTAGCAAAATTACAGCTTAAGTCTTTTACATAGAATAAACAAAAATGATGTAGGACATATAGAACAACTAATGAGATATAAATATGGATAGAGTTATGCAGAAATAAAATTGTCAAAATAGGTAATAGTAATAACAGTATGGATGGTTTTGATTGTTATTCTAATCATATTTTCAAAGCTTTAAAAGCCTATTGTTTTAGAGAGTAGAAAGTAAATTTTAAGATGATATTAAATATATGCCCCTGTTTATTAGTGATAAATATAAGGCTGCAAGTAAGATCTTTTTCTATATTTTGATATACAGTAGAGATTAGCTAAAGAATTTTGAGTTATATTGTTGAATTTAGAAGGATTTATTAATGGAAGTTTTTAAAGATGCATTTTGATCTTATTCCTGATTTTCAAATCTTAGTAATAGAATGGAAAATTTTCTCAGATGATCTTACAGAGATACTGCTCATTTCTACCTTGCTAAATCCATCTGCTTTTCTTTTTTTTTTCACTTCATACCATAAATATATAGAATAATCCCTGGCACATAGTTTTCTTCTGAAAATTGTAAAATAAATTGTATATATTCATGCATTAAAATCTTTAGCATTTCAGTTACCATAGCAACTGCCATTGTTCAGCCTCATTTCTATTTCAGTGTTATTACCGTAGTTTATCTACAATAGTTTATCATTTGGTGTATAGAGATTTGAGTTGGTCTAGTGACATATAATACTGTATGGACAAAGATAAATAGGGAATTTTATGAATACACACATACATATATGTGTTATAAAAAGTGATAAAAAGTTATAAAAAAGGTTTTATAAAATAAAAGGAGACATACAATAATCATGAAATTTAATTTTTGTAAGACAAAAAAATTTATGTAAGACAAAACAAATATTTGAATTTTGCTGAAGCTATTTAGCACTAGAAAAAGTTGCTTATATTCTTAGTACAAGAAAATATTAGATAAAAGATGTTTCCTTTTTCAAGAGCCAATTTAAATTTATGATACAGTATTTAGAGCCATGAGAAAATATAATATATATATTTTTAGTTTCATCTCTAGACACTGAAAAAGGACCCAAGCCATGTACAGACCATCAGTGTGAATCTTCCAGAAGACTGTCTAAGGTATGTTAGGTATCACTGGAGAAAGAAAAAAAAAACTTGAATGAATATGCTCAGTGTGTAAGTAAGCACCTTAGCTATTTGTAAAATAAATCAAACCCCCAGAATTAGGGATTTCAAAAATAAAAGTTAACCCAACAAAGAAGAACTTAATATAATCAATACTTAGTACTTTCAAACTTAATATTTTGTAAATGAGAATGTGGAAGATAATTTATTTGGCCTTATTTGCTGTTACTCATTCATTTACATTAATCAGAACAGATCATGGCTGGAATTTCTAATAGATGTTTGTATAGTAACCTTATGTCAGCACCAATTTTTGCAAGTTTTTTATTAGTTTATAGCAGTGTTTAATTGATTACATGGGGATTTTATGTAAACCCTTATGGCATCTACAAATAGAGACAGTATTAACTTCTTTCTAATTGAAATGTTTTTTATTTCTTTATCTTATCTATACTATCGAATGGCTGTCATATGAGTGAGCATCTTTTTCTTGTCCATATTCTTAAAGGGAAAAGACTTAATTTTTCACCATCACATCTGATATTAGTTCTGAGTAAAACCAGATGTCTTTTATTAGAATGAGAAAGTTCCCTTCTATTGCTCCTTTATATTTTGAATTATAATGCTTTTTCTGATTTTATTGAAAATAACATATCTAAATTATATTTGTTGCTGTTTTATTACAAATAATAGTGAAAAATTTCCTCTTTATCCTTTATGCTATATTATTTGAGATATATGTAATAAAATCTGTAGCCATGTTTTAAAACTGCTACAAACAAAAGGACATAGGACATATAAATTAGCATTTTAAGTTAGAAATCATATAGATAATTTTAGATTAGCATATAGCTATAAGAATAATTCAGAGGATTTTGTTGTACATTTTGTATTCATATGGTCTAACACAATTTAGAATATTGATATTAGCAATATCAATATTGATATTTAGCTTTTCTCAATTTATTTGTACACATTATGTATGTCAAGTTCTACACAATTTCATCACCTGGCTAGGATCATATGTCCACCCCTGTATTCCAAATGCAAAATGGTTTCCTACCATCGAAATGCCTTGTGGTGTTTTGTTGTTGTTGTTGTTATTGTTTAGATACAGCCATACCCTCTGTTCCTGATTTTCTGCCAGAGACTCCTAATGCTTCAGACTCCTAATTCTTTACTGTACTTCTAAAATTGCATTCTTAGAAACTTGCCTAGAGATTGACCCAGATTCAACATTTGTTAGTAGTTTATTTTCATTGGGATGTCAGGTAGTATAACAGGTTGTTTGACCTGTTAAAGGACCAATGTGTGTTGCAGTTTAAGCTTCTGTAAACTTTTATGTATACGTTTTTATGGAAAAGAAAATTGGCCCATTAATTTTTTATTGTGGTATAATTGATTTTACTATCCTCCCAGCCATGTATGAATAAGCACTTTTTCCACATCTTTATTGCTATTTGGTGTTATTTATGTCTAATTTATGACTTTAGTAAATGTATAGTAGAATTCCTTTATGATTTTAACTTACATTTCTATAAAGGATAATGAAATTAACCATTTTTAATGTTCATTACCACCTATACATCTTTTGTTAAATATCTGTTAATATATTTTGGCTGATTTTCTACTTGTCATTTATTTTATAATTACCATACAGTTTTTTTTGTAAATTCTAGATAGAAGTACTTTTATAATAGACATTTGTAAATACTTTTTAGATTCTAGCTGTCTTTATTTTTTACTACTGTGTATTTTTGCAGTCAGTTTAAGATTTTTATGAGATCAGTTATACAAGTTTTCTCTCTTTTGAATTGTGATTTCTTTGCATAGTTCTTCCCTATTTTTTTTTCAAGTTTTACATTTCAATCTAAGTCTGTGGCAGCTTTTGTACTGACAGTCCATAGAGACAGGAGGCATGGAAGGAATGCAAGAAGCAATATTGTTAAGCTTGTATGGAAAAGAGTTGAGAGGGGCAATATCTATCTGAAAGTACCTTTAATAGGAATTCAGGGGTAAGTACACAAGCACAAGACAAGAGAGAACTTTATAGGGTCATTTGAATGTCACTAGGAATTTGAGTGTCATTAGGTTGCAATAACAAGAAAGGAAGGATACTTGTAGCAGGAATCACATTGATGGACCTGGCTTCCTAGATGGCCTTACAACCTGTTTTATGGGCAATGTAGGTGTCAGGAAAATATGAACTTTAAAATTTTATAATATGCTTTTCAATCTCTGTGTATTTTGACCATATATATGATGAATATTTTTTCATTTTCTGTATCTGTCTTTATGCCAGTAGCACATTGTTTTCATTACTATATCTTTAAAATAAAATTTGAAGCTAAAAGTATGATTCTTTTAATTTTATTATTCATTGTTAGGTTTGGCTTATATAAGGTTTCAAAAAATTGCATATGAATTTTAATATGAAGTTTCTCATTTCTAATTTTTGATAGATTACATTAAATCTGTAGATACCTTTGGTACAAATTCATATACTAATATTAAAATGTTCCAATCAGTGCACAGTTTTCAGCAATATTTTGTAATTTTCAGTGTACAGATCTTTCACGTTATTGGCTAGCTTTCTCCCTATGAATTCAGTTCTTTTTGATAAGTATTCAGTTACTTTTGACAAGTGGACTTTTGCTCTTAATTTCCTTCTGTAATATGTTTAAAGTATGGAAAAGTAACCAAAAGTTTGTTTTTAATTTCTATCCTGTGACTTTGGTAAATTCATTTACTATAGCTCTTTTTTTGGTGTGGATCTTACAGGTTTCCTACATATATGATCCTGTTATTTTTGAACTGTGAGTTTTTTCAAGTATGTTTTAATTTCTTTTAATTGTCTTGTTGCTATTTTGAACAGAAGAGACAAAAACAGGAGTTATTGTCTTACTCTTGGTTATAGAGGAAAAGATCACAGTCATCAGTATTCAATATGATGGACTTTTCTTACATGGCCTTTATTATATTGAATTACTATCCTTTAAATCCTGATTTTTGGGTGTTTTATTATAAAAGTGCATTTTAAATGTTTGTATCAGTTTAGAAAAAAGATTATTTTCCCATTATATTGTGATAGAGTGATTCATTTCCATATGTTGAACCATCCTTAAATTCTACAAAAAAAAGTCACATTCAGTCATAGTGTATAACACTTTTGTTATAGTATACAATTTTTTCTTGATGATTTTTATCATCATTATTGTTTGAGTATTTTATTTTCTGTTCTCATTGTTTTTGTCTTGCTTTGATGTTACGATAATATTAGCCTTTTTGATTCTGAAAGTTTTCCCTATATTTTAGCTTTTGGTAGAGTGTAGAAATTTGATATTTATTCTGTAAGTGATATTATAAAATCATCAGCAGGGAAGCCACTTGGTTCTGAGCTTTTCTTTCCTGGGAGATGTTCCATTACTGAATTAATTTCTAGTTTTAGGTTTGTTCAGATTTTGTATTTCCTCATGATTCAGTCCTTGTATGTTGCTTATTTCCTGTAATTTGTCCATTTAATTTAGGTTGCTCAGTTCAGTCTAAGTTATGATGAATATATCTTTGAGTAATTAATAAACAATTATTGTTTTGCAGTTGTGAAGGCTGGAAAGTTCAAGCTCAAGGCATTAGCTGATTTTGAGTCTTGTGAAGGGTTGCTGTATTTCAGTAGATAGTACACTTCAGTGCAGCCTCACGTAGAAGGCAAAACCACTCCCTTCAACCTTTTGTTTTGAAAATTCATATGTATTAATTGTACAAGGTGTTTTCTCTGTAGTCCTTCACACATGCATATATTAATCATCTTAAACCCTTCTATTGCTCACTCTTTTCTTTGTTCTCTTTCAGTAAGTTACCTGGTCCCTTTTTCATATATAGACACAATGTATTTTGGTATTGTTCAGCTCTCATCATTCTTTTTCCCTTGTCCCCTCTCCTCAAAGTCTCATGTTTGTGTGTGTGTGTGTGTGTGTGTGTGTGTGTGTGTGTGTGTGTGTGTATCTCCATATTATAAATATGTATATATATATTCTTCATATGAGAGAAAACATGGCAGCTTTCATCCTTCTGAATTTGGCTTATGTTGGTTAACATGATGACTCTAGCACCATCCATTTTTCTGCAAACACAATTTCATCCTTCTTTGTGGCTGATTAATACTCCATTGTATATGTATACAACATTTTCTTCATGAAGGGCATGCGTGCTGATTTTAAAGTTTGGCCTTGTGAAGAGTGCTGCAGTAAACATGGTTGTGCAAATAGTTCTGTTGTATCTTGACTTATATTCCTTCCTATTTATATGCAAGAATGATATTTCCAGATCATATTATATTGCTATTTTTTAGGTTTTTGAGGAACATCTATACTACTTTTTATAATGGCTGCATGAATTTACAGTTATAATACCCTGTTTGAATACTACTAGTATATTAAGTTTTCTTTTCTTTCTTTCTTTTTTTTTTGTCAGTCATGGGTCTTGAACTCTGGGTCTGGTACTGTCCCTCAGCTATTCAGCTCAAGGCGAGTGCTCTACCACTAGAGCCACAACACCACTTCCAGTTTTCTGGTAGTTAATTGGAGATAAGAATCTCATGCTCTTTCCTGCCTGGGCTGGCTTTGAACCCAGATCCTCAGATCTCAGCCTTCTGAGTAGCTAGGATTACAGGTGCCCAGCTTTAAGGATTCTTTTTTACCTGCATCCTCCCCAGCATTTATTGTTTCTCTTCTCAATGCTAGCCAATCTGACTAGGTAAAATAAGCTGTCTCTTTTACATGGGTACAGATCCTATTTATGAGGCTTCTGGTCTATCTTCTTTTTTGTAGTTTTTAGTGTTATTATAAAAGTGATGTACAGAGAGATTAGACTTAAATAAAACAGGTAATAAGTGCATTTGTTTTTGAGAAGTGTCACCGCTTCCCTTGTTTTCTTCCAGTTTTTCGCTCCCAACCTCTCCCCACAGGTTGTGTAGTTCATTTTCAACAGTATCTAGT